TATTACTTTGATGAGTTTTTTTTAAAATTGAGTGGGGGTGCCATATGGAACTCTTACTTAAGTTACAACCTACATTTTCACATTTTTTGAATTTCAGTTGAACCACAGAATAAGTAGATTTTAAGTGGTTAACTTTATAATTTTATCCAATAAATGTTCTTTAATAAACCTTGAAATATACACTTGATAAATGTCTCCTTTTTAAAAATGAATTATCACAAAAAACAGTTAAATTCCACTTAACTTGCAAATATGATAAAGTTTATATAATAATATTTGAGACTTAATAAGTGTATAGGTACAACTAGTTAAAAACAACTTTTATTGTTTTGAAATTTTGCTATATTAATATCTTGAATTTGAACTTGCCAGGATACCAGTAACGAAGTTTCTGTCTTTGTGAAGAACAAAACATCTAACCTACAGTATTATAGTTATACATTCACAAATCTTGTCCATTTCAAGATATAGATCATTAGATGTAAATGGGATATAGCTAAATATCTTTTATTTTATTTTAAAACTGAAGTATTTGTTATAAAAACATATATTTTGTACATTCCTCTAAGAGAGAAAACGTTAACTTTAAGTCCGCCTAAAAAGTATTCATTCTTAAAATTAAATGTATTCAAATTGAGTAAGATCAAATTTATGAATATATTAACTTTAAATCAATAAAGCTGTTGAAATAAAACCACAAGAATATTATCAAAATATGGTAACCAATATAAATTGAGTAACTATTACTAATACTAAAAATTTATTTCAAAATTCAAGTTTCAACTGCTTTTAGTTTTAAGCTTCTAATAGTAATACCACGGGAAAGCTTAGCACCATTGTAATACATAACAATAATTTTCATTGTAATTCCTTTGTAGAGCATGTACTTTTTTATATAACACTAATAGCAACTTTTAATAATAAAGAGTGTTAAGACATATTTATGATTACCATTGTACTTCAAATTAATAAGTCTTTTTAGGCTTTTCTCAAGACACTCTTAAATTATTTCAGCGTATTACAGTCAGCAACTCTAATCCAATATAGAATAATAGGGATCGTTTGGGTATTTCACACAAGTAATTGTGCCCTCTAGTGGTGTACATTATTTTTAGAAAAGATGTAAATTTCTAGTGATCTGTCTCTGAGTTTGTTTTATAATACACCAAGAAGAAAGCAAACATTAAATGATAAAATGAAGCACATAAAAAAAAGGAAGATAAGGTATATTTTTATTATATTTAAAGAAACTGTGTAATGTTTTGATTAACTACAAGTAATCAAAAAGGATAAACAAAAATCCTTTGCTATTATTTATAACAATACAGCAATTGTTTCATTATATAAAATTACTGTAATTTTGTGTTTTATCAGAGTGGATTATGGTTTACAAAGCAAAACACAAGAACAAATGTATAAAGATATTTTCGGTAGCTATCGACATCCCTAACGTAGAAAATTTAGGAATTATGCAGGACGTTCAATGCCACTATTCAATGTCATTTTTGTGCAAAAAAGGACAGGAAATCTATACTAACTGCAATAAAGTTATTTGCCATTTTATTAAAATATCTAACTAAAATTATTCGTATAAATCTTTCCGATAATATCGCCATGGCAAAGGAACGTGACATTAGTTCAACACTTTTGCCTAAATCTGTTAAATAATCTGGATATTAGAAATGACGCAGTTTTCGGAACTGCATTCGTCACCAGTCGCTACCTATATTATCATATAAGTCACCTATTGGTGAATTTTGTTACTATGGCAATATTGTTTTATGCAGTTAGCGTGCCCTAACATTGAATCCAAGGATTCATGATTCGTAATGGTAAAAGGTGTTCAGTACTTTGAAGCAGTGGCGTAGCAGGGGGAGGGGGGGGGAGGGGGGCAGTCTCACCCGGGCGCAAAATTTCCTCTGGCCTATAATGCCTATTAATTCATAATTATGCCCTCCCCTAGGATATAGCGCAACTGCCCTACGTTAAGTAATGACGACACATTGTTACTTTCTTTGTGTATATTACGCTTGCAGTTTTAACTTTTAAAAGATGCCCACTGAAATACAGTGAGACCA